TTTTCTTATATTTGTTTAGAAAAATTTTGGTAAAAAACATAAATTCATATTGTTTTCCTAAATAAAAAAGAAATTAAATCAATTAGTTTTTTTACGGTGCCGGTGAAAACTATTTTCTGGTCACTAAACTCTTTCCACACAGTGGCTACTATTATGTCGTCACAATGTGTGGGTTTGAAAATCGAATAGCGCTTAATGACCACTATTTTTGGTCACTAAGGTGTTGTTTGTTTTTTCTGAGGCAAAATGTCTGCAGTCTGCGGACCAAATCTGTAGACCTCTTCAGTAAAGAGTGGACCAAACGTCTGCAGTCTGAAAAAAAGACTGTTTGTTTTTTTTAACATCTCGGGCTACTAAAATAAACTGAAATCTAAATAAACTGATTTTTTTTAAACTTCAAAGTGATTTTTTAATATTTTTATGACTTTGTTATAAATAATTAACGAATCTAGTCAAGTTTTATGTATTATTGTATAAAAAATAAAAATAAAAATGGTATGAATTAACGTATATATTTGAAAAAACCAACAACTTTGGTTGCAAAGTTATAACTAAACATTATAATTAGTGATCAAAGAATTTGATACATAAATTGATGGAAATAAACTTCAATTTTTTCAATTAAATCCATTAAAACGGTACCATAAAATTTTTTTTCTCGAGAAATTAACGATACTGTATTAAATAATGTTTTACAAAATTTGGCAAAAAAATATAAGAATATTATGATTTTTTTTCATATTTATATAACAACTTCAACGACTATTATTGTATAAATTTTTATTTATAAATTTGTCAAAAATATCATGTTTGTATCGTTGAACGTTTTTTTTAAGTTTTGTAATTTTTTTTCAAATTATTTATCATTAATAAAGGTGGAAAAAATATAAATTAAAAAAAAACTTAAAAAAATAAAGATATATATGTTTTTTTAGGCTAGAAGATGTCTGAAGATGTTAGAAGACACTGGTCCACATCTGCGCCAAGAAGAGGGCGCGCAGACATTTTTAGGTCTGTAGTCTTCAAAAAAACAAACAGTCTGCGAAGGCTAATGTCTGCGCGTGGTCTGTGCGGCGCAGACAGAAGAGGTCACGCAGATCTACAGACAAAAAACAAACACTACCTAAGTCTCCAATATAGTGACAACTATATTTGGTCATTAAAAGTCAAATCAGTGACCACTGATTTTAGTCACTAATACTTGTTATAAAATTAAACAACAATAATGACTTTTAGTGACCACTTAGTGATAACACTCTCAGATTTGGTCACTAAACGTATACCACTACCAAAATTCAGTGAGCACTTAATATTTGCTGACTAAAGAATGTTGCTAGTGACCAGATTTCCGGTTGTCACTAAAAACTTGGTCACTAAAAAGGAATTTTCTTGTAGTAAACCAAACGAAACAAGAGATGGAGAGAGAAAACCATGGTGAAGATGTAAGTGAATTTTTCTATTAATTGAAACCCTAATGGTCGTGGTTCTGTTTTTCCATTGAAGTTCTCCGACGGGGTGAAGTCAAGTGTATGAGAAAATCAATGGAGAGAAAATGGTGGTCACTAAGGCCTCTACTTACACCGGTGGAGGCTGTGAGAACGATAGAGGTGAAGTAGGTTTAGGTTGGAAGGAGTAGGGGTGGTTTGGGGTTTCATCATGAATGGCTAAGGAACTAAACGTAGGGGTAGGTTGGAAGGGGTTTCATCAAAAGAGAGTTGGCGGGTGGTAGCGGTGAAGATGTAGGGCAACGGAGATGGTCAGATGGAGATGTAGTGGTGGAGATGGAAATGACTGCAGATGTCGAAAATGAAGAAGAGGTGTGTCGATGAAAATGAGAGGAGGAGTTGGAATTTAAATTACACAAATGGTCCATGTGGTTTGGGGTAATTTGTGTGGTTGGTCCCTAGAAAGAATTTTTAACTCGGATCATCCCTACAATTTGTTTTTGTTTCGTATTTAGTCCCTTGTTAACTTGAAATGACCACATTACCCTTCCTTATATCTTTAATAAAATTTTATTATTAAATTAAATTTGAAAAACATTAATAAAAGAGAAATTAAATATCCTCCGACTTTTTATTCCTACAAATCATCCTACCCAATTAAATAGTGACATGTGTAATATTTAATGTTCATTTAATGATACTTTAATATACTAATATGACACATGTTATCATTTAATTTTGGTAGGATGTAGGAACAAAATTAGGAAGATATTTAATTTCGCTTAATAAAATGAGAACATGGTCCCACCGTCTCAATAGTCACCCTACATGGTTATCGCCGACACCTGCAACACTACCACCGCCGTCAGTATCCTCCCCTACCATCACCGCAGGTCTCCTCCACCACCACTACACAACTTATAGCGACCCTCTCTGAAAAAATTGAAACCATAAATTTATGTTTTTCTTTCATTGAGATCGAAAGTTTTTGCCCTTGCACCTTGTAATCACTCCAGCAAACACCCACAAGCTCCTATTTAACAATCATACATGAGTTCCCGCTAAAAAAATTAAACAACAAAACAAAATTCAGATACCATATAAAGCTACACAGTGGTTTTGATTCCTGATTCATATACAACCCCTTTCCGATTTCTAGTTCCCACACACAAAACCCAAATTTGCAACCCTATAAAACATATTATCATCTACCAGATTTCTGATTCAACAGTATTTGCTCCACCCACCACCAAATTCTAATTTGCAGAAATCCACCTAGAAATTCATTACATTTACCCCAAATTCGCCATATTGCATACTTGTTGAGGTCGTTTTTGGCAGCCAAGAATATGTGATCTTTGAAAACCAGATACCACACCAAAGCTTCATTTTTAACGAAGATAAAACATAGGCAAAGCTGATTTTGCAACTAAAGGGAACTTATCCGAAGAACCTAAAACCAGATTAGCACACAAACATTGACAATCGATTTGTAAATAGCAAGATCATCGAACAACTAGTAATCAATACTCGTATATTGCAAAATTAACCATCAATGTTTGTTCACTGGCGAAATAGAGAGGGGCAAAGTACACCGATGGAGTAGAGAGAGGTCGGCGGACGATCGTTGGACTATAGTGGTTGGTGGACGCTGCTTGACGTTGACGATGGGGCAGGCGACAACATCATCGTGGTGAATCGCAAGCTTGCACTGATATTTAGGTCACAAAGGGGTTATTTTAGGGTTTCATCACTGATGCAGTGAGAGGTGCAGAGGGATAGGAATCATATGCAACTCGCCATTGAAGATATGGGAGGGAGGAGTTCAAGTCGTCGGTGAGGAGGGTCAGGAAAGCAGACTCGATAGTGAGGAGGTGAAGATATGGGATGCAAGGTGCAGATTACCAATATGAAATGTTTTAATAAATATCTTTTCTAAATAAAAACTAAAAAATAAAAAACTGAATGTTAAATTGAAAGGGTAAGATTGTCTTTTTATATTTAATAGGGACGAAACGCATGATAAAAACATATAATAGGGATGGTCTCAGTTAAAAATTCTTTCTAGGGACCAATCACGCAGATTACCCCAAACGATAGGGACCATTCGTGTAATTTACCCTTTTCTCTATTTTAAAATAAGATTAATTAAAAAAAACATAAACTAAATTAAAAACATAAAAAGTCATTTTATTTGGGTTATGGACAGATCATACAAATTTTAAAAACATGATGATGTTAGAAAACATTTAGAACTTATAACCTCTGGTAAACCATAAACATTTATTAGATTTTGTCTAAAATTTATAACTTAATTATATATTTACTTGCTTCCCCTAATCTCTTACTTTTTAAATTTTATAACTTTATTGTTTTTTTACAATTTATTCTAAGTTATTAACTTTGCAAATGGAAACTATAACATTTTTACTATTTTTTTATTTTCTAAATATTTAATTTGATAAAATAATATGGATATGAAATATGACGTGTGTTTAGAAAACAAAAAATTATAGCATAAAGTTTTATAAAACATTTCAAATGAAAAAAAAAATTGTTTAACTATTAATTTTTCCCCGAAAAAGCTTATACATTAGAAAATATCTAAACTTAACATCTTTTTATTGATTTACTATAATAAATAAATTTGAAATTATAGATGTTCTGTCGTTACTGAATCAATACATTTATAAATAAATTAATTAAAACTAGAAAGCTTCCCCCCGCGTTGCGGGGGCGGAAGGTGTTGCTTTTGTATCATAGTAAAGTACATTGCCTAAGTTGTTAGCCACAATAAAGTACGTTGCTATTGTATGAGATTTGCCCATTTATAAACAGTGTAAATGTTATAATAAGAAAATTTTGAAAATACAATCCAATAATTGGATAGAATTTTCATAGGACAATGTGTTAATAAGAAAAGATATCAAAGTGTTGTAGTATGCTATAAAAAAATGTACATTGCTAAATTGAAAGAGATTATACAGCAGGTCTCAACAGCCCCATCGATCTTCCCATCCAGTTCAACTTTCCACAATGAAGTTATATCACATCATTATCTAAGACTAAGACCGACATACCATCCAGCTATCAATTTCTCCAACGTAAAAAATTCATACGAAACTGAATTCTCCACTTGTAAGATTCATTCCACGCATTTTTTTTTACTGCCAATATCAGTCAACTTTTTAAAAATATTGCAATTACTTTGAACAAAAAAAAAATGCATACATTGTCCCATTTTACTGTACTGTGGCATATTTGGGTACAGGGGCAAATTAATTTGAACAAAAAAAATTGTATACACTGTCCCATTTTACTATACTGTGGCATATTTGGGTACAGGGGCAAATTGGTCTTTCAACAAAATTGACAGTCCAGTCACAAAATATTAATGATAAAAAAGTTATTTTTTACTGATAACATCTGTCGATTTTATTTAAAAAAAATTGCATTGTATTTGAATTGGCTGATATAATCAGTTGTATAAAATCAGTTGAATTGACTGATAGCATCAGTACAGTATATGCAGTTTAATTAGCCAAGTGCAAAAAGGAAAATTAGCATCAGTACAGTATCGACAGGTAGTAGACTTTGCTGCTTTTCTGATGATAACTATAAACATATATGCAAACAGTTGGTGGGCAAACCCCTAAAAGGGAGAATTTTAAGAAGGAAGAAGAAAGAGATATACCTGAAACGGAAGGGAAACCAAGTGCAAAAAGGAACCGCTACAGTTACAGTCGATTCAGGTGGGATCAACGGTGGAGACTGTAATGCAGTTGTTCATTAGTCATGATTTTCTTGAGCTCTATACCACTAAACATACCATTTCCAAACTCTAACCTAAACATTTCTGAATTTGGATAAAAAGAATAAAGTGGTGATAATTTACCGATTTGCCCTCCGGAAGAAGGCAACAACTTAACTGAAGCTCATATTTTCCTGTACCCATTGCTGATCTACCTGTTGTTGTCACAAAATAAATGAGATATTAATTCTCAAACATATGTATATAATATGAAAGAAAAATGCATCAACCAATTTTAGGTGACAATGTATGTATTATGCTCTTAACTACTCCTAGTTGCATTCATCATACTATCAGATGCTCAAAAAACACAAACAGGTCTTTTGTGATCATCAGAGAAAAATGACCTGAATAATACAATAATTTCATGTGATTTATCAGGATGATTAATGTTTCTCAGGTAGAATCCAAAAAAAGTTTATAGGTATGCACATGCATGTCGACATATAATCTAATTAGAATCCTTGACCCCTAAAGAGCAATGATAGTAACAGCGACAACATTAGTGTAGAGGGTATATCATGATGTTATGAAGCTTTAATAATTGTTAAGAGTAATAATCCCAAGCGTATTTGAGTAATAATTATTGTACATTGACTATTCTGATTACTATTAAAACAATTATTAGGTATGTTTATCCATATGCTTAGTATTATGTAACAAATTCACGGTCCTTCAGGAGATGATTAACATTATCTTATGTGCAATGCAATAATTATTGTTTCTTTATCCATATCCTTAGTATTATGAAACAAATTTGAAGTTTGTTGATGTGCTACAGGGCACATTTCTTTATATATTGAATTTACCTATCTCCAGTTCCAAATTAAAAGAATAATCCTCAGATCATCCATTTTTTATGAAGAAAATATTGTTAGTAAGTGAAAACATACCTTAAAATAGGATATTGAGAAGCAAGTCTGAAAAGCAAGAAAGGGAAAGAAAACAACAAATCAGTGTGAAGAGTAAATAATAAATTGATCATACCTGAAAATATTTGGCCGATAAAAGTTTCACCATCTCTGTCGATGCAGTGTCTTCCCCGATTTAGGTTTGGATCTCTATAGCCCGTATTTGATCTCCACCTGTTGTGACCTATTCTAAATCGATTGAAGCAATCCTAAAAAAAATTAGGAAAACTTAGTTAAACTTGATTTCATGGTTATAAGAGAAAAAGAAAGAGAAACAACCGAGAAGGAGCACCGAAAATCTACGATGTTGTCGACCTCATCGCCGGCAACAACAATTCCGTCGTCGTTAAAATACTTACCTCTCAGAAGCTTTGCAAATCACAACACCGGTGCCTCAGTTGACCTTTTCCGGCCTGCATCATCAATTGGAAGAATCAAGTCGGTAATAAATTACAATTTCCATTGAATAACTTCGTCCATAGCATAAATCGAAAACCGTACCTTCAACAAAAAATAGGAAGAACGCCAAGGTTGACCGAGACGGAAAAGTGTGAGCCAGCGACGAAGTTGAAGCAGATGTGGAAGAGATCGTGTATGGCAGCGATTGATGTTTTTGTGGGTGTTTCACGGGCCGTTCGGTCGAGAAGACCGATATCAGCTTGAGGCGGTAGCAGCAGAGGTTGTGGTCGACCCTGGTGGATTGGTATTCGTCTCTCTCCCAATTGATCTGTCATCCACTTCATATTTCGCCATCGCTTCCACCTCCTGTTCCGCCACCAGAGCTCCGTCTCCAAGATATCCGACCTCATTCATTGTTATTATCCCCTTCCCTGGTGTAGCCGTTGGTGAACCGGGTATATGATCAGGCGAGAGATGTAAATCTTCTTCTGGGGGAGATAATGGAGTTTGCCCACAAATTGTTATGATATTCGACCGAGAGAAGGCGATGGAAACAACTGTGTAAGCATCCGATTGGAGAACAAAGGCGGTGGAATCAGAGGAAACACATTAAGACAACACGTATAAAGCAAAAATATAAACAATAACAAAAACAACAAAAAATACCCAAAGCATAGAATGAACGTTTTTTTAACATATATACATAAATAAGTGACTCATTAAATTAAAAGATTGCAATACAAACAAAAATACAGGGATCTGGAATGTAATTTAAGGGACCAAAATAGACAAAAATCATGGTAGATTTACTGTTTCTTTTCTTCACATTTTTAATATATATATAATAATTAAAATTTTGGAAACCTATATAACATTTTGCTTGACCCATATCTAGGATTAATGTTGTAATTAAAGGATGGATAAAATGATTTGGTACATGCATATGAAGGAATCAAAATTAGGACAATAAAACTAAGTTTATCCCTACTTGACTATTTTAATCTGTATCGTATGAACTATGACATCTCTAATTCAAATGCATTTACGACTATCGATACCTCGAACAACATGTCTACTAATACCTATATTGACGTTAAACTTTTAACCGTTATCATATATAAAGTCATTATTGTGGTTATTATTAAGTTATTAAAAATAGAATTTGTCTAAAAATGGAAATTTTTCATGTGTTTCACAGGAAACCTTCTTTAAATGCGGTGGTTTTGCTATTGGTATGACAGTAAATCATGTTACTCTTGACGCAATAAGCTTGAAAACCTTCCTAGAAAACCTAGCTTCTTTGGCTGCTGATAAACCCCTCGCCACCACACCTTTTAATGATCGCCACCTCCTGGCAGCAAGATCGCCACCGCAGATCAAATTCGACCATCCTGAACTTCTCAAGATCCCAACCGAAATGGACCTCCCAAGCGCTACAATTTTCGATTACGCAAAAGATCAACTAGACTGCAAGATCTTCAATCTGACCTCAAATGACATAGCCCACCTCAAACAGAAGGCCAAAGACGGACATGTTTCGGCCAATGTGAAATTCAGCAAGTTCAATTTGGTTGCAGCGCATGTGTGGCGGTGTAAAGCATTGTCATACGGCACAAATTATGACCCACAGAGGGTTTCCACGGTCCTATATGCTGTAGATGTTCGGTTCAGGTTGAACTTGCCTCAATCCTATACAGGCAACGCAATTCTGAGTGCCTATGCATCTGCGCGATGCAAAGATATTGAAGAAGGGCCGTTGTCGAAGTTGGTGGAGATGATGGTGGAAGGTAATAATAGGATGACAGGGGAGTATGCAAGGTCTGTAATTGATTGGGGAGAAGTGAACAAAGGGTTTCCAAATGGTGATTGTTTGATTTCATCTGCATGGCGATTAGGATCTACAGACTTGGAGGAGTATTCATTATGGAAACCACAGTAGAGTTGTCCGGTGGTGCATTATCGGAAAGATATAATACTACTCTTTCCAGGAGAAAGCAACAATGAAGTCAATGTCATGGTGGCTTTGCCTAGCAAAGAATTGGAAAATTTTGACGCCTTATTTCATAAGTTCTTGGCAAGATCAAAATTATAAACAAATATATATATATATATATATATATATATATATATATAATATATATATATATATAAAAGAGACGCTTCACTTGAGATTAAAAAAAATAGAGATCTTGAGATTCAACCTCAGCCACATATTTCTCATTTGTCTTTCTAACGGTCCGGCAGCAACGGAATATGTCTAATCATAAATGATTATACATATATATGTGTTCAGAGTAATCATATATGATTATGACAGTTGGTGGCAGAAGATGTGGTGATGATAGAGGTAACAGTGGTATAAGTAATGGTGGTGACAGTGATGGGATCGGCTGGTATCAGAGGTGGTGGTAGTGGCGGTGGCAGTCATGGCCTGATTTTTTTTACAAATAGCCATTATACTTTAATTTTATACATATTAGACCCAAAAATATAAAATTTTGGTTGTGGCCCCCTGCTCACCGATTTTTATACATATTATATTCCCCCCCCCCCCCAAAAAAAAATCATATGTTGAAGTTCCGCCCGTGGTGGCAGTGGCGGTTGTGGTGGTGGGGATGGTGACGGAGAAGAAAGGAACCGGCGGCGCTATATAATAATTTATGATTAAAACAAGTTTGTCGTGTCGGTACGCCTAAGAGTTAGAATGGCAGATTTGAAATATGTAGCTGATGTTGAATCTCAAGATCTCTATTTTATTTTTAATCTCAACGAAACATATATATATATATATATATATATTATATATATATATATATATATTATATATATTTTTTGTCAAATAATCCTACAGAAAATTGGATAACAATTAAAATAAATTGGTCCATTTGCGATATTTGTTTCTGCCATAGCTAAAATAGAATTTTGAAAATCTGTATGTCTTTTATCTCTTAATATTAAGAGAACAGGAGCATCGACACCAATTCTAAAAAGAGGTTTGATAGCAATTTGAACAAGACCTAAATGAAGAAATTTATATTTTTGTCTATGTTCAAAAATAGATCTTGATGATAACAAATTTATATTTTGTTGGTCTTGACTAATAGATAGGGTTTGTTCAGTCATTTTAATTGAGTAACTTTGAAAATAATCAAAAGTCCCTATTCTATAAATTGTATTTATATTTGTTTTAGGTATAGTCCAATCATTTAAATTTGTTCTATATTATCAATAGTTCTTCAATAGAGTTTATATGGTTATCATCATAATCTTGTTCTTTATTCATGATATTTTACCAGTATCATATTTTTTAGATAATATGCGTGAAAATCTACTCATATTTGATTAATTTTAGTTTAAAGATTTTATAAGAAAACTTACTTGTTCTATTTAGGATGAACAGAGAGGGCATCGGCCCAACGATGATTGTGGTCCGGCTCCGCGACTTACCATACTCGCACGTCTTACGCTAATCCAACCAATCACTGGTCTGGTCTCTGTATCATTCTTAACAAAACTCATAATTTTCTTAAAATTCTTCAAACAAAAATTAACCAAATAACAAACAGAAATATCATACATAACTATCAAAAATAGAACCAGCTCTGATACCATTAGTTGCGGAACAAATTAACAAGTAGTTTCAGATATTTTTTGATGATAAAAATCATACATTAGTTTATAAAACTGTTTTCTATCTTTGCTTATAAACTTATGATTACTGATTAGAACTTGTAAAGCTTTTAATTGATTACAATAATAATGACGATTAGCTTGTATCTTTGAATCAGACATGATGAATAATAAAAGAACAAAAGTTATCTAAATATTTCAAGCATGAATTTGATTAACTTGATTATTATTAAATGCGAGTATTATTTTAACAAAAATTTCAAACTTTGTAGAATTAATAGTTAGAATAACTCGAAATGAGATTGCCATAGAGATAATACAACAATTGAATAAAATTCTTTATATATTACCTTCTTTGAAATTACAATTAGAGCATCCGTCTGGAGCAAGTATGATTTGAAAATCTAAAGATTTTGAACATCTAGAAGTAGATAGGAGAACACTTTTCTTAGACATGAACTAAACATTAGAGAGAAATTTATGAGAGAAATTTTTAGAGAACCTAGAGATGATTCTAATTAAAACATATCTCCTCAATATATAGGAGTCTTGGAGTCTTGAAATATCTTGAAACGGGAAACCGAAGGATTACCGGATCAATCTTGAGAATTATTGAATCAACTTGCCTTTGTCGGAGTGTAGATGTGGCAGACAAAACTGTAAAGCTTTTGACAAATTGGCATCATATTTTGTCATTTTTTGATAATGGAAAATCTTCTTTTGCGATAATGGAGCATCTTCTTTCATCTTTGTAAAAGTTGTTTGTTTTCTTGTAATAATTTAACATCTTATCTCTGCAGAGGATTTGATAATATTTTTGATAATAGATGTACTCACACAGTGTATAATTTGATAACAGTTGAATAAATACTAACACAATTTGATAACACGTAGTACTACCCCCCCTTGAATAACAAACACTTTTGCAAAATACCTAAAAAGGTATGACACCAAGGGTGGAGGGTGAAATACGAAATGAAAGAATACCTTACATTGAAGGTATAACACCAAAATTAAAAATTTAATTAATCTGCAAATGGATCATCAAAAGGATCTTGAGCATCTTGAAAATTATTTTTGACAGATGTGGGAGAATTTTCTGAATTAGTTGGAGAATTGCGAATTTCTTGAAGTAATTGTTGTAGATCTTCAGGGGAAGAATTTGCAGCGGCACGAATTTTGCTAATAAGATTAGCGTCTGGAGAAGATGGACTCTTGATAAGATTCGCTTCAATTTCTGGCTTTTGATTATACATTGATTGATAATGATTGAAAACAGCCTGCTCGTTTGCTTGAGAAATTGTGACTTTATCCCACCATTTTAGACGAAATTGTCTATTGAGCCAAGGGGGATTTAAGTCTGTTGCTTCTTGATAAGAGAATGTCCAGGACATGATCCATGGAACTTTGAATAACATGGTGAACTGTAACAAATATTCAAATTCTGGGATTTGTTGAATAAATAGTTCTTTGAATTTAGAAAATCCTTTGAGAATTTCAGTGGGTAAACAAATAGGAACAAGTCCCATATAACGATACCAATTGACAAACCATCTGGGGTATTCACAGTTGAAATTTTTATCAAAGAAAATGAACCATGAATGAGAATAGTTTCGAAGAAAAAATGCTTTAGTCCAAGCTTCTTGGTAATCATAATATGAATATCTTGGATAAGCAGGGAATTGATAAAGGGGTTTTTCGAAGGAAAGATTGGATGACCAATTTTCTGGAGAAATGATTTTAAGAATTCGGGCTTTGCTAAAATCAATAGATCCTTCCTTATTATTAGAACGGTGATCAATCTGAACAGATCCAGATTCTTGTAGAATGGTTTGATAATATTCTCGAGATTTGTAAGAGTTTTCATGAAAGGTTTTTCCTCGACCAAAGAGGTGTTCAGTAAGAACATGAAAACCTTGATTAAGCTTAAGAATTTGAGAATCTTCAAGTATTTGGATTTTCAAGAGATTTGGATTGAGAACATAAGGGGCTTTATTTGTAGGTTTAGGATTTGTTGAAATTTGTGTTTCAGAAGGAATAGGTTTTGAAAAAGGGCTAATTGATTGAACTGGAAAAATGTTTGGAGTAGCTAGTTTTGATTGTAGCATGTTTGAATAAAGTTGAGAATTTTTTGCAATTGGAGTTAATGGGGAAAAACGATTTTGACTTGAGAAAGGAACAAGCTTTTGATTAACTGAATCTTGGAGGAAGACGATGAACTCATTTTCTCTGCAAAAATTCACGAGAAAGAAAATCTGGTAATGAATTGCTTTCTCCTTTTATAAATTCAATATCGAAATCAAAATTGCCCAACAATGCTTGCCATCTAGCAAAAATTTGTTTAGAAATAATATTTTTAACATCTTTTTCTAAAATTGATTTTGCAGATTGACAATCAATTCTTAATAAAAACTTTTTCATAAATAAATCATCTTCAAATTTAGTAATACATAAAACAATGCTTAAAATCTCCTTTTTAACAGTTGAATAATTCTTTTGAGTATTATTCCAAGCACCTGAATAAAAACGAACCAATTGTTCTTCAGAGGAATTTGATAATTTTTGTTTTAAAATACCTCCAAATCCAATATCACTAGCATCAGTTTCGACTATGATATTAGCATGAGGATGTGGTAAATTTAAACAAGGTAAAGAAGGAATTTTTTGTTTTATAAGTTTAACAATATTAGTATGTTCTTGAGTCCAAGGTTCTGGATTATTTTTTAATCTATTATAAAGAGGTTTGCAAAGAGTTCCTAAATCTTTGAAAAAATCATGAATATAATTTAAACATCCTAGAAACCGTTGAAGTTGTTTTTTATCTATAATTTCATCAGGAAATTTATTAGAAAATTCTAAACTTCTTATAATAGGTTTAATAGTATTATTAACAATGTTATGTCCTAAAAATCTAATTTCATTTTGAAATAAATGCATTTTCTTAGCTGAAACAGCTAAGCCATTTTTATAAATTAAATCATAAAACTGATTTAAATGTTTGAAATGTTGATCAATAGATTTTGAAAAAATAAGAACATCATCAATATAAACAATTGAAAAACTATTTATAGGAATGATAATATCATTCATAACGTTTTGAAATTCAGAAGGAGCATTCTTTAAACCAAAGGGCATAACGTTCCACTCATAATGTCCAAAAGGAACATTAAAACCTGTTTTGTATTTATCTTCTTCATGAATTTGAATTTGCCAAAAAACCAGATTTCATATCGAATTTTGAAAATATTTTTGAATCATAAAGTTTTTTCAATAAATCTCTTTTATTAGGAATAGGATATCTAATCCAAT